TTTAGTGTTGCTATTTTATATCCCCATCTAAACTGAGTCTACATCTTAATCTTTAGAACTAAGGTCATCTGTCAGTAATATACTAATGTCACCTTTAATTAACAGAACTACACTATTACATCTTTTGAGTTTCATGTCTTCTGAAATGTCATAGAATCTTGAATTTTCAGATCCTGGGCTTCATCATATTGCAGTCATTTTCTCTGTAAAGGCTATCAGATTGTATGTATTTATTTCCATTTGAACAGACCATTGATTTACTCCATGTACTCCCTTCTATTATATTTTGTCCATCTTGGTATGATTTTTCTATTTCCCTCTGTGCAGTCTGTATGTTGCCCAGTTTTCGACTGCATTTATATCTGATATTGTCCTAAACCTCTCATCAATTTTATTTTAATCTCTCTTACTTTTGTCATTTAAATGCCCCATGTTTTCCCCCTTACTGCCTTACTGATTTATTTCTACCTTGAAAGCCGACTATTCTTGTGCAGTTTTGCTAGCTTTTGGTAACGATGATATTGATACTGTTAAAAGAATTTAAGATAATATCGACAACAGGAAAAAGGACTTGGTCAGTGTGTTAGCTGGAAGGATATATAGATGAGACACAAAACTCAACCCGTTGGATTTGGAGTATAGATGCATTGCATTTTTATCTTTAGATCAAAAGACATGATTAAAGGTTATTATGAAATCTGTGCTACCGTAATGATAGACCTCTTTCTTCTCCCAGTAATGATTCCAACAATTCTATTGTGAGGAAAGCAAGAGTTGCATGTGATAAAACTAAAACTGAGAGCTTAAGTTTTTTTTTGGCTTATTTGTATAGATGGTTTTCTTAAATATTGAAGAGCAACGTCATTTTTTTAAAACTTTAGAGCAATACAGAGCTGTGGACAAGAATAATTTTTTTGTCATAACAGGAATCCTTAAGTTTATTTTTCAACATCAGACACTTGAAGGACAATTTAATAAAGTGATATTGTTTACAACCTGTGCACTGAATAGATTAACTTACTTTGACATTGTTTGAAACAAACAAACAATGGTGCAGAAACTCAGTAGGTTGGGCAGCATCTGCAGAAAGAGAAACTGAATTACCATTTCAAGTCCAAAGAAGTCCTATTGGATTCAAAGCATTAACTGTGTTTCTCTCTCCACAGATGCTGCCAGACTTGCTTGTTTCAGATTCCCAGCATCTACAGCATTTTGCTTTTATTCATTGTTTGGCTTGTTACGGTTACTGTACTTTGCATGTTACTCAGTTATAATCAATTCTGGAGTCAATTATAGTTCTAGTTTCAAAATTAATTTGGGTCTGTATTGCTAATTTTCACAATTGGTGTACATATACGGGATAGGCAGAAATGGAACAGCCTGTTTGACAGTTTAATGGAAATCAACTGTATAATGTAAACAGTGAGAAAGAGAGTAGTTTGAGAGATTTAGGATTTAATCATGTGACCATTGACCAGTTAAAATCTGGACCCAAATTTATTATTGGTAATAGCTTTTAACTTTGTCCAGACAAAACTCAAATGTCATATAATTAACATAAACTGTAACAGGTTTTAGCACAACAAAATTCTCCTTTTACATGAATACAGAATACCTAACATCTGATAGAGAGAAATCATAGACATTGTCCCTTTAAACAAGATTTGTACAATATATTACTTGTGGTTCAAGTAAATTTTGTATTGCTCATACTTTTGAATCCAAGGTCTTATTTTGAACCCTGTTCTCTCCTATTGCAACTGTCTTAATTTCTCACTTTAAACAACATTCAAATGTGTTGTTTTTCTTTGCAACAAGTGGAGATTTGTGGTAACAGTTGTAAGAACAACTGTAAAATTTCTCAAATGGTTACTTTTTGATTGGGTGTCTACCATTCTTCTCAAGTACTACTTTGTGCCTTTGCATTGGCCTGCCTACAACTACCTCAGATAACTTAGTACTGTTTAGTTTATGCTTTCTCTCTAATATTTACATTGAATGTTTTGTATTTCTCTGATCAATGCCCACAAGATTTGTTGATATGTAAGCAGTTCACATTTTTAATCACTGTCTTGATCTAACAGCCCATGAGGAGTGCTTCTGTGCTGCAGTATTTTGGTTATATTCTTCCATGTACAAAGCTTAAACTAATGAGGAAAGAATGAGAATAACTTTGGTTTGTTAAAAAAATAGTCTAATCATTTGGATGAAGTTCAGTCTCTCATGTATAAAACTCATGGCTTATCTTTGTGGTACATTGTCACTAGGATTTATTTTTGTCTGATGCTGTTGTTTTATAAATGGTATTGATCTCGGAACAGATTGTGTACAGTGAAATGGAAAGTAAAAACCCCTAAGGTCAAAGCAGCAGGACAATGATTCGAAAGGGTAGGTCTAACATTGAACTTGGAAGACAACATCTGTCATATTTAATTGTACACTGAAAGATGTGATCATTTTGTATACAGCATATGAAGCACCCACAGATTTCTTGTGAAACACATTTGTTGGCCCTCAAGCTTTTAAGAAACTACAACAGATATTGTGTGGTATTATATGTAGACAGTGCTCTGACTTCCATCAACTTGAATGATGATGGGGAAAGTTTGAGTTTTAAAGAGTTAAGTGATTTATCACTGATTTTTCAGTGCTGGTCTTGTGGCCACTGGGCAAGATTGTTGTACTTAATCAGTAAAAACTGCCTTAATTTGGAAATATGTATTTGGCTAATAATAGTGAACATTTTTAAATTGAAAATGCTGTGTAAAGCAATCAACTTTTTGTTTAGAGATGGACCTTTATTCTATTTCTTTTGACAAATATTCATAAACAGGTTTGACTGCAGCTTTTCACAATCCTGTGTAATTTGTGTACTCTTATGGGATACTGTACAATGTAACCAAAGACATTTATGGCACAAAGAGCCATTTGGATTAATTGTATCTATACCATTGCCACAACAACCTGGTAGAGACTGCAATATCTTTAAATTTTAAGCTATTACGTTCCCAAGTGATAGTCTCAATCGAACTCTGTGTGTAGAAAAATGCTGGACTGTAATTTGATCAGTGATCAGTTTTGCAGATCATCTTCGAGGGAGAAGAGATGGAGACGTTAGGGAAGGAATTCCAGAACTTGAGGCATTGCAGTTGAAGGGATACTTCGTGGTAGAATGGAGGCACACTTATTTAAGGTTGTTGGACTGGAGATTAGAGAATAAAGATGAGAATTTCAATACAAAGGTGTTGCTTAACTAGATGTCAATGTAAACTGGCACATTCAAATCTATCAGTGCAACTAGTTTACAATAAATGTTGTAGCCTCTTTACTGAAAAGTGATTTGAAGTTAACTTGCTAATTTTGCTACATATCTTTACAGGGATTATATATTGCACTGGCAAAAATAATCAGGAAAACATTCACAATAGTCTGAGACAATGATGTGTTTTAATTATGGTTATGCAATAAAACTATTATTGGAACATCAGTGTCCAAATTAGATGTGTTAAATCATTTCTCACACTTAAATAGGAAGAATGTATCTACATGCAGTTTTTCCTGTTGAGTTAACAAAAACCACTTAAGTATACTTTGGTTGCTTTGTAATAATAGCCAAGTTACTTAAGACCTATTAGTTCTTTTATATTGGATTGTTTGTTTACTTTTGAGAATGTGTTACTTGCATTGTGCCTAGTATATTGTGTTTTACTGTGTAATGGATGCAATTAATATGAACTAGACTGGACTGTTTATTTTGTAAAGTTTAACTGTTTTGTATCTTTTCTTTTTCAGTGTGTAGTTCTTTGGTTGTGGAAATATATTTCATTATTTTGTACTTTTTAAATCTTGAAATGCTTGTGATTAAAAACTGGTGCCTTGCATAGTAAATATTAAGTAGTGTGTCCTGGATTACAGTGACCATTGATCTTAAACAAGGGAGAGATGAAAAGGACTTTATGATCAGGAATTTACCCATTAACAAAACATGAATTGACTATCACTTTGGAAATGCTTAATACCCTTTGCTACTGGCAGGATTAAAGGAAACAATTCAACTGAAGTAGAATTTTTCAAACAAGAGATACTTCAGTTTTATATCTGACATTTTCTACCTTAAATCAACTGCTGACTTGAATAGTTTTTTTTGCATGTTCTTCCATGACCCCAGTGGTTTGCTTCAGCTGCAGAGTCCTGGTTAAAAGTTGCATTGTCCTTAAGTGGTTGGATGGTAGAAAGGAGTCCTGAATCATATGCATAGGAGGTCACCAAGTCAACAGCTCAAAGTTAACGAGTCCCTCGCGATGAAGGAAGAGCGGTTGCTGCCAGGAATATAAGCATTCGTATGTGCACTGAACAAAAATCCCATGGTTCCTTTACTGCTCCCTATCTACATGTTGGGCCTCAATGTCATACTTATTTCATGGTGTAGAAAGCGACTCTAAGACAAAATCTCACTGGATATAAGGAATTTAAACAAATAGAAAATTGATTAAACACAGTGACCAAGGTGCTGAAATACATATTGTACACTTTTTGTATTGGCATAGATGCATTCCTTAAAAATCTGTGTTGGGAAAAGAATTTCCTTCCCCCTCCGTGTCCTACTTGTAATTTGGGTTTATACCAGTTGCAGTGCAAAGTTGTCTGCAATTATTACATACTAATGTCAGCTTTCTATTGACAATTGACCTCCAGCAACAACTGCAGTAAGTCACAGTCTCCTTAAAGGACACACCACACTGTCCTTAACCTTAGGATCAAGTACATTGCCTCTCTACTACTATGTACAAGAGATGTCCTAAAATTACTGAATCTCATACAATCAAAGCACTTCCCTTCTTTTGGATAGGTTTCTTTTGTGAATTCAAATCCAAAAAGAAAACAAAAACAAAACCTTTACCTTTAATTGTACTCCAAATATAGATTTTCCATTGTGTAAATAGTGTTATTCCATCTTTTGCACATTACAGCCAAAAAAGAAACAAACAAGTATACCACCCTTGATTTGATATGATTTAATATTGTTAATAGGACACTGTTTGCAAATAAGATTACTCATCAAAATGCAATTATTGTCAAAAACAGCTGTAAAAATAAAGCAGAATTGCTGTTAACTATACCACGACACGTCTGGTCACCTTTTACAGAACATGGTTGTTTTGACCAATTCAGTGAATTTTCCAGCAACTTCTGTTTTTGTTAATACATTTCTACCTTGTCAGCCTCAAACTGGCATTTTTACATCACAGCCATGAATAAATAAATGTACATGTGATAAAACCACAGTTTTCAGCATCATACACCAATTACTTAGAAATATTAAGGGGGAAATGAACATTTTCAAGTTAAGAACTGCTCTGTAGTTGTTGATTGCCCTGTAAAAGATGTAGTCTGTCAGTTTTCATTCTGAATGTTTCTTGAATATGGCAATGAGGATTCACAAGTTTGGCTCTGAAAAAATGAAAGTTTAATCATCCAAGAAAAAGTAGTTTCCACTCTTCTTCTGCTCCACATCCTATTAAAGGCAAGGGGAGAAGTCATAGGTAAAATCCTGGAAAAAGCTTAAAATGCTTGTTTTCTCAAACTACTAAAAAAAAAAATCAAAAAGGAGAATTAAATGATGCTGAAGCTATTTTAAGAGTAGTCATTAGTTAGTCATCTCCTATGCTCCGCTTGCCTGCTTCAAAGGAAGAGCTTAGTGCCTGCACATTATCCTAAACAAGTCTATAAATATACTATGTGTAACTTGGTACAGTGTGTTTAATGCTATAATACTAGTGCTGAATTAAACTCCAAATATATGTTCTCAGAGCATGGCAAGGTAAACTTCCTTTTAATCTTCAATTTTCTCAATGTTCTTTATTTGTAATTATTAATTTCTTCCACTTCAGGTATTTTCTGCAAATTTTAAACAGATGTATGTACCTGGAAGCTTTAAAGTCAATTGGTATTTAAGACTTACTTTGTGGTACAAGGGAGCTTGAATAAAATGTGAATTATATTTATCAATATTGTCATGATGTTTTTGTATTTTCCATTAGTGCATGCTGGTTTCATTCATCACTAATATGTATAGAAACCTTTGCTCACCTTAATAGAATTCATCTTATTAATCCTTGGTCGATAGTTGTTTGGGTCTCTTCGGAAGGTGATTTCCAGCTGAGATAAGAATTTATTCATTCCAGCAAGCAGTGTCTGTGGACTTGAATTGTTTAAAACAAAGAGTGCAGTAAATTACAAGTGTATTCTATAAGAAACCCTCTGCATTGCCTGACAAATGAATAATTATTTTCATTAAGCTTAATTTGAGAGCAAGTTTCTTCATGCATCAAGATACAAATGAAAATATACAGTCCATGCTTCTGCCTCGACCACATGCATATATCATTTCACCCCTTTCTCTTACATCTTTGTAACGTCCACAACCCTTCTGAAAGCTTACTTTCACTCAGTTGCACTTTCCCACCTCACAGTGCATGCTTAACCTGTACAAACCAAAGGAGAACAACAACTACTGCTAGTGGCACTCTATAACACAGTCTGTCTATAAAATAGATCTATTTTCAATAAAGTTAACCTTATAAAAGAGCACAAAGTAGGGACAAGGAAAGGTCATTTAAGACCATGTAGGATTCAGATAGTCAAATGTTATGAGTGCCAATTTTATCCAGAGACAACATTTACTGTATTAGGCCAATCTAGTATTCAATAAAGAGGATTTTCAGAGAGACTCAAATATCAAAGGACCACCACATTTTACTCAGACACATTCTTGTAGAAATTTTTTTTTCATAGAATCCCTGCAGTGTGGAAACAGGCCCTTCGGCCCAACAAGTCCAACATCCCACCCAGACCCATCTCCCTATAACCCACCTAATCTATACATTCCTGAACAGTGCACGCAATTTAGCATGGCCAATCCAACTTGCCTGCACATCTTTGGACCGTGGGAGGAAACCCACGCAGACACGGGGAGAATGTGTAAACTTCACAGTCACCCGAGGGTGGGATCTAACCCGGGTCCCTGGCACTGTGAGGCAGCAGTGTTAACCACTGTGCTCATATGCAATCCATTCACCAAGCACAGCTACGTTAGTCTAAGTAACCAATTGAATTATTCAAGAATGAGCATGAAATCTGATGAACAACATTGTAATTTATTAATTCTGAATTATTATGCTCATGTTTTGACAGAGCAGCAATCTAACTGAACTCAGTCCTGTCCTGAATTGTGATCTCTATCCATTGAAGATTCATTAGTTGAGACTTTTGTGATCTGTATACATTAAAATCATCAGCTACTACATTTACATAGTGGAGAAAAGAAGAATTTGAAAAGGCAGACAGTGAATGGAATCTGAAGTTAAAAACATGTCTGGCTGCATCTGTGGTGAGAGAAACAAACCTAACATCAAGTTTTTCAGAACAGAAAGCATTCTGCCAAAGAGGATGCAACTGGGACTGGTGTCCAATTAGATGAGATGTACGTTTGTGTTGGGAAGGGTGGTGGTGGATATTTAAGTGTTAGTGGTATGCATTGCTGTAATCAAGATGTAACCAAAAGAAACTCCACAATTCATGGATGTGCCACTTAAGGTTACAGTGGAAGGTGTGAGGAATTGAGATAGGTACTCTAGAGAGGATGGCAGCACAAAAGGATAGGAGTCAGGAGCAGGCAGGTGGGACTAGTTTTAGTCTGGGATTACAATCGTCACAGACTGGTTGGACTGAAGGGTCTGTTTCCATGCTATATAGCTATTACTGCGAAACTTCAATTACTGCAAACTCAAGTCCTTGTGTAAGGTCATAGTCTTAAAAAGAAGTCAAAACAGCAGTTCTCTAATTGGCCTTTAATGGAGTGAAACCAACTTTCTCTTGTAGCAGATTATCTGAATTATTTACTTCAAGAAACAGCTCCTGTCACCCTGGCCTTACACAATGGTTAACACACTGGAAGTTGATTTCCCACTTTGCCACAATACTTTTATTCTTCTACTCATTCAGGCAAGTGGAGAGTATTCCACCACACTCCTGACTTGTGTTTTGTGGATGGTGAAGATTGCAGAATTCCTAATCTCTGACTTGCTGTTGTAGCTGCAGTATTTATACGGCTAGTCCAGTTCAGTTTCTGGTCAATAGTAACCCCCAGGAGGATGATAGAGGGTAAATTCAGCTACAGTATTGCACTGAATGTCAAGGGGTGATTGTTAGTTTCTCTCAAGTGGAGAAGGTCATTTTCTGGCATTTTTTGTGGTGCAAATGTTACTTGAAACTTGTAAGCCAGGGCTGAATATTGTTCAGGTCATGCTGTATGTGCATATGGATTACTTCAGTGACTAAAGCGTAACAAACGATGCTGAACATAGGCAAAAGTCCCTATTCTGACCACATGATATTAGGAAGGTCAACAAAGAAGCAGCTGACAATTGTTGAACCTAGGGCATTAACCGGAGACAAATAGGGCTCGTGTGGCATACTGGTAATATGCCTCTCTCTGGGCCTAGGCTCAAGTCCCACCTGCTTCAGAAGTGTCAAAATACATTTGAACAGGTTGATCAAAATATTTAACCTGAGGCAGTGGGTAAGTGTGGTGCAATGGCAGTTGTCCTTACCTCCGAGCTAGGAAGCCTGGGTTCACATACCGCTGAATGGGCCGATTATAAAATATCTATCCTCAGGAATTCCTATCCAATTAGAGACTTTTTCTCCTTCTTACTTGTCATGCAACCCATGCATTGTTGGGAAAGTACCACTGTACCTGAGAAATAGCCCTTATTTTGGCTTAATTGTCTTCTAAAAGGCTGCAAATTTCCATTATAGTGGTTCTCGACCCCACTAGCAACCCGCCTACCAGAAATCTGGCCCCAAACCATTTTTCCTATTTTTGCAGCCTGCCTGCCAGCCATCAATCCTGCATTTAAATGTCTAAAATTCTAATCCTGGAACCCCTATGAACTTAGGAACAGGAGTTGGCCAATTTATCCTTTAAGCCTGTTCCATGTTGCAATAAGATCATGGCTGAACTGTATCCTAACTGCATATGCCTAGCTTTGCCCTTTATTGCTTAAAATCTTAATCTCAGATTTAAAACAAACACAGAATTGCAAAGCGTTGTAGAAGGCCATTTGGCCCACTGTGTCGGCTCTTTGAAAGAGCTATCCAGTAAGTTCTACACCCTGCTATTTTCCTATAGCTCTGCAGATGTCTACTTTTAAATGTATGCATCCAATTCCCCTTTCAAAGTGATACTGAATCTGCCATCATGCTCTTTCAGGCCAGCAAACTCTATCATAACTTGGTGTGTATAATTTTAAAAATTCTCCTAGCCCCATCTAGATTTTCAAAAAAGAAAGTTTCACAATCATGATATTGTTGACTGGCACAATGGGCTGAATGACATTCCTATTTATGATCTTATGTTACAATAAAGACATTCACAATGTTCTATCCTTTGAAAGTTCATTTTCATATACCGCTTTTTCAACTCTTACTGTCTGCTGTTACTTGTTCTTTGTATCATTCCTACTTTACAGAATCTTTTTCCCCCACTTATGTGGTTTCTCTTAGTTATATCTCTTTCATCATCATGAATTTTTTTACTGTCAAGTAAAGATTTCACACCTGGGGATATAAATAAGTTCTATATAACCTTTAAATGTTTTTAGTGACAACCACTAGAGTCAATCTTTTCTATTAACAAATTTGCACAATTTAAAATGGACAATTCCTATTTATTCATTGCATCAAAGTCAGCCTTACTTGCATCTAGAACCTGGACAGCCTTTTTGCATTTCTCCCTTTCAAACAGCATGTTAAACTTCGTCACAACACCACTAGAAAAAAGTGATCATTCACTCATTGATAGTGATGCAAAAGATTTAATTAACAGCCTAAATCTAACGCTGCCTGCTGGCACATGTTGCAAAACTGTATCATGAGCACATTCAAAGCATTTGCCATCTACCTGACAACAGACTGTTTGCTAATGCAAGACATACAAAAGTTAAAAATTTCATTAAAACCACTTTGGTTTTGCTAGATTAAACTTTGTCTTGGTATTCAACTGTATCATAGCTCCTACCATGGGATTGATCACGCCTTCCAATGCAGTCTTAAATCCCTGTTTCTCTTAACTCTATCCAAAGCACAGTCATTGCCTACTTTTTTGTTCTATCTTTTGCTATTGGAGTAACTTTCTCCTTAAATAGAGTAGGTTATTTGTTAATTTTCCCCAACTTTCCCACAGACTTTTATAATCCGATTTCTTTTTTTATTCATTCATGGGATGAGGGCATCATTGGCTAGGCAGCATTTATTGCCTATTCCTAATTGCCCAGAGGGCAGTTAAGAGTCAACCACATTGCTATGGGTCTGGAGTCACATGTAAGCCAGACCAGGTAAAGGATGGCAGTTTCCTTCCCTAAAGGACATTAGTGAACCAGATGGGTTTTTCCAACAATTGACAATGGATTCTCAGTCATCATTAGATTCTTAATTCCAGATACTTATCGAATTCAAATTCCACAATCTGCCATGGCAGGATTTGAACCTGGGTCCCCAGAACATTAACTGGGTCTACAGATTAACAGTCCAGCGATAATACCACTAGGCCATTGCCTCCCCATTTAGTTCCAGTCCTTACCAACTTGCAACTGTGCATCAGAATGGTTACTATTTAATAGTCTACAAATTGAATTTGAAAGCCCCTATTCATCCATTTTGCTCCTACTCTGGTCCCAGCATGATTCAGTTACAGCTTGTCCCAACAGCACAGTTTCTTCCTGCAGTATTAGTGAATCCAATGTCCAAATCAATGGAACACCTCTTTCTCAACTCCTTCAGCAACATGTGTATCTTCACAATTTAATATTCCTATGCTAATTTGCATCCGGTCAGTTACTAATCCAGAGATTTCTGTATTTAGCTCCTAGATCTGAAAAGCTCTAAACAGATTTTTTGCATTTTTTCTCCTCCCTTATCTTGTTGGCCCAAACATGGACACAACAAATGGATCTTCATCTTCTTCAAAATCCTTAAGACAATTTGAAATGTCTGTTACCCTAGCAAGAGGTGGGCCAGAAGTAACATTGAGACTCTTGGTTGCCACCTTCAACTGATGTTCTCTGTCACGATAAATTCTGAGACACATTTTGTTGAAGCTTTTTGTCTTGTACTCATCAGGACAATTTGTAACAATACCAATAAAGCAGAAACAGGCGAGGTTAGCTGTTTCTTGCTGCTAAAATGCAGCAATGACAACTGGATTCTGTTGTCAGGCCAAAATGATATTCTACCTTTTACTCTTAAGGATTTACATGAATCAGTGCCAGGCTGATTCCAGGTATGAAGGCCTTACGTCCCAAAGACTGGTGGATTATTGCATAGCTCTTCAGCTATTTACAATAAAAGGTACTGACTATACCCGACTAGCCTGCAATTGTAAAACTCAAGTGTCCGACAGACCTGATTCAGAATTATCCAGATGTCCAACTGCAATGCACACTAGTAATTACACTAACAACGAATTTAGCATTATCAGTCAAGCTGAAAGCATGCCAAGTCCATTTCTTCATCAAATCAGGATCAATCTGCCTGGCTTGAAATTTAAATAAAAGTCAGACAATTAACTGTCAATCATCACTAACTTCTGTATTCTCCATGGCAATGGACCAGAGTTTACTTGCCAGCCAATCACCACTCTCCCCTCATGCAGTACAAATGTTGGTTTTCCCCTTTACTGGTATTCTTGTGAATTCTCCTGACAACAGCAAGCCAGAAAACTTCAACAAAAGTTTTTCTTCAGCAATACTCAAGATCTGAGCTACCAAATGACTAATTGCTGATTCTCCTATAACTATCACAAAGGTAGTAAGTATATATTACTTATTAGAATTGATGGATAGGATCAAATTCTGCAGATCCTCCTAGTCTATTTCTTCTTGTTTCCCTATACTCTGTATACTACTGGTCATGTCATCAATTGTATTCTCATCCTGCACCTCCTTACAAAAAAAAAACAAACTGTGCTCAAGGTCTGATACAAACTCACCAGATTCTCCTTTCCCTCCTGATCTGTTGAGTGTCTCTAACACATGCTTCAGCTCAGTAACGAAGTCAGAAAGATTCAAGACAGTAACATCTAGTGGAGGCATGTTCTCAAAGGACAGCCTCTCAAACTCCCACAATACTGTAGTCCAGGCATTCCACCTGTTCTAATAAATCTTAGTGTATATTATTTAGAACCACTTTTTTTGTCTGTTGTAAGTTCTTTTGCCACACTAAAAACTGACAGAAAGCACAAACACCTGAATTTTAGATGCTTACTGTCTTGAGTTTACACTAACCACTCGTGAAATTTCTCTAAATTACAAAATAACAAAAAAATGGATGTACTCTCTGAAAAAAAACTTACGGATTAGCTATTGTACTCCTAGATGGTATTCCATCAAATACAATCACACGGTCAGCCAAATAGGTGGCCATTATAAAGTCATGTTCCACAACAAAGGCAGTCTTCTTTGCATGGAGAATGAAACTACAAGTTTTAAAAAAAAAGTTAATCACTAACAATTCTGTAATTTAAAAAGAGTCAAAATAATAAAGCCATTTCAGAATAGCCAGATAAAACAAAGTATGTTAGATTTAACATATGCTTAAAAAATATTACGATTTTCAGTCATTAGTAAATCTAGATAGTTGATAGCACTACACATTACATTTATGAAATGTAGTATGAAATATAAACACATTTACAACCAGTCAACTTTATAAGAACATCAGTTGGCATCTGACGAACGTACATTTTTTGGAACGTGAGTCGTAAAATCTCACTACTACAAACTAGAGGCTTTTTGACTCAGTTGATAACACTGGCTATGCAGGCTAATACAGTAGCCATTTATAACACAGCAAGATCACACTACAGCAAATTAATGCATGAATCATAAAAGCAAAAGAAAGCTTGTGTTGCTCTTTGATACAGCTATCCAATTAATCCCATTCCATTGCACTTTTGTCAAAGTCCTGTACAGTGTTTCCCTTTAAGCATTTATCCATTGCCTTTTTGGAGGTTATTGAATCTGCCACCATCATGCTTTTCAGCAGCTTGCAAGAGATTTTGGTTTCTCATTGCATAAGTTTCAATCTCTCTTTGGTAACAAATGTTGAGAACACCATTTTGGTCAGGACACTAGGAGAACTTCCAAATCTTTTTCCAATTGCAGCAGGTAAGTGAGATCTTTGTTTAATGCCTCACCACAATGTCAGGACCAATTAGTGTGAGCCTGAAATGTACACTGAACTCTTAAAAATGATTAGTAAATAACGACCTCAGATTCTCCCAAAATACTCACCGTTTAATTACCCTTCCAGCCATTAGACGCTGTTCAGAATCCAGGTATGCTGATGGTTCATCAATCAGGTAGACATCAGCTGGTTTACCTAGACAAAGAGCCAGTGCCACACGTTGTAATTCACCTCCAGATAGATTCTGGACCTGTTGAGGTAAACATTTGACAATGATACTGAAAACGATACCGAAGGAAAATTAACTGAATTTAACAAAGTGGATTCACAAATAAAGCTCTCCAGAGATAGCTCATGGCATTAGATCCAAACTTGCAAGTTTCCATGCAGCAGCTTTAACAGTTTAGTAACAATAATACCTTTATATGCTGCTGAAACCCCTCAATACGAGGGGAGATGTTTCTTCCACATCACGGAAAACCAGATTAGAACTCAATACCCTAGCTCTACTAGCATTCTTACATTTGAGTTTTTACTTGCTTTACTAAACTGATGGCTCAACCATTCATCTAAGATTTATCTAAAATCACAGCTTAGGACCTCCTAGTCAGTTTCACAGCAGCTCTAACACTTGCCCATTTGTCATTATAACTTGAACAGGAACCAAGGAAGTGGTGCACAGGCATCACATACAATGTTGAAATAAAAACGTTCAAATACTTTAACTACGTAGGATCAGATTGACATCACCCAGTTTCTTCAAATGTGCCCAAATTCCAAACTTCCATGATAACAAAAGTTTATTAAAAAGGAAAACAAAAGCAGAAAGTTTTATACAGACAAAGATTACTTCTAACTTAAATTATCAATTTCATAGAAGTTTTACAGCAGTCTGAATTATTAAACATTCTTGGTCATGAAGTAGACACCAGCTTTGGCCTTTCAAAAAAAAAGTCACTCTCCAATTTTCTTCTCACTAATCACCTTCCATCCACATCTCTCCTCAACGTTCAGGTTCAGAGATGACTTATACCTTTGGTGTGCTTGGCTGCAGTACTTTAGTACAGTGGCTATTATTTGTCTAAATGATGACCGTCCCTGATTTTAACTGCTCCAATACTGGTAGCCAGCCTTCACCGCAAACTCTGGAACTATCCCAACCCCAATAAATCTCTCTGCTCCTCTACATGATGTTTTCCCCTTTAAGACACTTCTTCAAAACTACTATTCCTGACTGAGCTTTTGGTCATCTTCCCAAATATCTCAGCTCAGTGCCATATTTTAAAACGTGCTTCCCAAAGGGATTATAAAGATTTTTCACAATATCCAAAGTGCTACAGATTTCTAAGTTACTGTTGGAAAAACAAAATTGGATGGTTTCAGGTTGTGCACTGTTTGACCTTACTCTTAATTTCCAACCAATAGCCTCACCAACGAAGACCACATGCACTTAAAACTCAAGATCCTATCCTCACGAACATTCTAATATTCCAGGTTTTAATCGCTTTACTAATTGATGGCACTGCCATTTATCTACTATGAGTTATCTAAAATTACAACTTAGGGCCTCCTAGTCGGTTTCACAACAACACAAACAGTTCTAACACTTGTTCATTCATCGTTATAACTTGGACAGTAACCCAAGAAGCAGCACATAGGCTTTGTACATGTACAAATGAAAGTTCCAACTCCATAACATGGCCCATTTCAACCTTGGACTGCTTCACCCAGTGAAACCCTCAGATGCCTTAACAGTTCATTTCTGCATCTTGACGACAGCAGCATCGGTTGCTAAGCACCTTGTTATTGAAGCAGATTCACATTTGTTTACACATAGAATAACAAGACACAGAGCATAACTTAACCTGGATATTCAGGCCTTCTACATACTGGACCAAATAATCAGCAAGATGTCACCAGGTAAAAACTTAAGCTGCTGTATTTCACAGCAAGGTGAGCAGAGAAGTATAAATACTATTACTGGGGTCACTTAAATTCTACCAATACAACTTGCATTTTGTGTAACACCAGTAAAGAACTCACCATGCTAAGCCACATTGTTGAGTCACCTTATTTGACTTAAATCACGTACACCAGTGCAACAATTTTCCAGTACATCTGTAATCTTAACTTTCCTTGTAACAAACCTGACTTGCCAAGTCCAGTTTCATGGGTCCCCTGTTAGCGTGCCGCATCTTCTGCCTTTTTATTAGAGTCATACAGCACAGAAGCAGACCCTTTGGCCTAACTCGTTCATGCCTAAACTGAACTAATCTAATTTGCCTGCATTTGGCCCAAATCCCTATAAACTTCTCCTATTCATTTACCTGACAAATACATTTTAAGTGTTGTAATTGCACCTACCTCTACCACTTCCTCTGGCAGCTTGTTCCATATGCGCAGGTCTCAAATCTTTCCCCTCTCACCTTATACCAATGCTCTGTAATTTTAGACTCCCCAACCTTGGGGAAAAAAGACCTTGACTATTCACCTTATCTAGGCCTCATGATTTTATAAACCTCTCTGAAGGTCACCCCTCAGCTGCCTACATTCTAGGGAGGTAAGTCCCAGCCTATCCAGCCTCTCCCTATAACTCAAATCTTCCAGTCTTGGTAACATCCTTATCAAATTTTTTTTAAAACACCCTTTCCAGTTTAATAACATCCTTGCTACAGCAGGGCGACCAGAATTGTATGCAGTACTCCAAATGTGGCCTTACCAATGCATTGTACAGCTATGACATAGCATCCCAATTCCTGCACTCCATGCTCTCACCAATGGAGGCAAGCGTGCCAAATGCCTTCTTCACCACCCTGTCTGTGAGCCACCTTCAAAGAACTATGTAACTGTACCTCGATCTTCCTGCTCGACAACACCCCCAATCCCAGGCCCTATCATTAACAGTGTAAGTCTTGCCTTGGTTTGTTTTACCAAAATGCAACACCTTGCATTTATCTAAATTAAACTCCATCCGCCACTCGTCAGACCACTGGCCCAGATGATCAAGATCCAATTCCACTCAATTTGCCTTCTTCACTGTCCACAATACCATTAATTTGGTGGTACAACCTCCATTTTGAGTGTATTTATAAAGCCCAGGATTTGTATGCTTTTTAAAATCACAGTCTCAACCTGCTTTGCCAATTTCAGTAGGTTCACACATGCCCCTAAGTGTCACTCTGTGATGGTTTCTGTACTCCCTTCAGGATTGTATTCAGTATTTTTGTGCTGCTTCACCCGATTCTTCCCATCAAATGAATCACTTCACATATCTCTGCATTACATTTCATCTGCCATGTAACTCTTTTCACTCACCTATATCTTCTTGAAGTCTTATTATCCTGCTCATAGTTTATGAGAGTTCCAAATTGTGACTCAATTGCAAATTCTGAAGTTGTACCCTACACACAAACACTAGTCATTAGTGTATATCCAAAAAAAAACCAATGGTCCTCTTAACAGCCCCTGGGAAACCTCACTATACACACAGTCCTTCAGAAATGACATTCACCAATTACTGTTTTCTGTCATTCAACTAACATCATATTCAAGCTGTCACTTCCCCTTTCATTCCATGGATTTCAACTCTGCTGGCAAACCTGCTGTTATGTGGTATTTTATCAGTTGCCAGTCCATGCATGCCACATGACCTGCAGTTCATTACTTGTTAAACGAAATTTGCCCTTAACAAATCTAGCCGGTTTTAATTAATTCACATTTGAGCAAACAGTTAATTTGGCCCAGAGAGGTTAAACTGTCAGGCATATAATTCCCCGACTATCTTTATACATTTGTTTGATTCTCCAGTTCTCTGGCATTATGCTAGCATCTAAGAGGATAGAAACATTATGGCCAAACTCTTTGCAAATCCCACCTTTAACTCCTTCAGATGCATGCGATCCAGTCCCAGTGATATATCAACTTTAACTATAGGCAGCCTTTTCTTTTCTATCAATTTTTAGTGCAACCAGTGACTGAACTCTCAAACTGGAAGCATCTTCATTGTAAGATCAAATGAAAAATAAATCACTTAGTACCCAAGCCATGCTCTGATAAAGAACATAAGAAATAGTAGCAAGAGTAGGCCATTTGGCCCTCAAGCCTGCCCCACCATTCAGCAAGCTTATGGCTGATATGACCCAGGCCTCAACTTCTTTCATGACAACTCAGTACAGTCATTAACCTCATTTCAAAAAATCTACCTACCTCTTTTTTAAATACTTTCAGTGATATCTCTGCCTCGGTCTTTCTCTCTCACTCATCCTGCATAAATCTCCTTTTTTGGTCCCCATTTGGCCCAATTACTTTGGCCACCTTTTTACTATATTAAGCCTAGTTCTGAACTATATTATCAATGAGACAATTGTGATATGCATCTTTTTCTACACTCAGCTAATTTTATATTCATTCTGTCACTACCAGCCTGCAATTAAAAACTGTTTACCACATCTTTAAATCCTGCCATGAGACTGTCCATCCCATATTCACAACCACCTCCAACCCTATATCTCCTTCAAAACCGTTGGTTTTCTCCTCACTCTGATCTTTTGTACATCCAACCCTTACATATCCGTTAACCATCACACCTTCAGCAGTCTAGATTCCACTCTCTAGAATTTTCTCCTGTAATTTATTGTGCAGCTACTCCATTTTTCTTCAAACCCAATTTAAAATTTATTCTATTCACAATGTTTGTCATCACCCTTCTAAATTTTTCCTTTGACACTTTTTACTTCATGTCTCAAGGATGGTAGACAATTTTCTACATGAAAGCTACTTGATAAATGGAAAATCCAATAGTGAACTGTTTATTTGCAGTAGCCATTGCAGCTGAGAACCTGTCCTTGTGTACACTTTCAGCAGGGTCTTCTGGCTCATCATTAGGGACAAAGATTCTGGCTAACCAAATGATGAGCGTGCTAATTATATTTCTTAGCTCGCAGTGACTATTAGCATGACAAACATCTCCCTTAAGAATCCGCTTTTACATTAATCAAAAGAACTACACAAGACATAACTTGAATATGAACAAAATCTAAACCAGCACCTCTTGATCAATGATGCTTTCAATCTGTAATGGTTTCATTACGTCAGTCACAAACTGTGGATGGGTGTAGGCATCTCTGATTTTTTCATGAAGCAGCTGGCGAACAGTCCCCTAGAAGAGTAAACCAGAGATACTGTTTCTAAAAGCCACAACCATTTATTATTGAAGTTCCATCTCTAAAGCTACTGCAACACGTACAACAGGAATTACATGACAAAGTTAAAAATCAAGGAACTTTTCTTGCCATTTGAAAAATTAGGACAATTTTTTTCTACAACTTCAGTTGATTTAGTGAGCACCAATGTTGTCCTAAGTGGTGCAAGCCAGTAAGCACCACGTGAAAGGAACAAAATCGACTGCGCATAACTAAAATTGCCTTTAAAAAATGTAAAGGTGCATAGGTGCATAGTAGGGATGACATGGTGCAATAAAAAGACTGCAAACAAGAAAAGAAAGCGAACAATGATCTGGACCAATCATGGTTATTACAAGTTGGCCATATAAATTTTCCTGGCTGAATAATTTAGCTACAGGCAAGTACACTTGCCATTTAACTTCTTTTCAACTCAGAGTTGATGGTTCCAATTATTAAAAA